TTGCAGCCTCCAGCATTTGAAGTCAAGGGCTGCGCCCCGTGTAAGGTCTAGGCTCAGGGGCTGTGCCCCTCGCTCCCATGTTCGATAGCTACCGATGCCCCTTTCCTCCAAGACTTTGCCGGCCCTTATTTTGAGTCATGTTAAACTCTCAGCTTCCACCACATCTGTTCCACATGGTAACAACCCGCTGGGTGAAAAAAAACCCTGCCCGGTATTAGTTTTAAACTTCCGAACTGCTCGTTTCATGTGAGATGATAAATCATCAAGCCCCTCTTTGTTTCTCATCACCATCGGGAACTGTCTCGGATGACAGAGATCTCTCCTTCAGCCCTGGGTGGGGATCGTGCTGGTGAATGTGGTGTTTGGGAATAGCCTAGGAAATGGCTTTGGTGGAAGGGGCACATCGCACCCTGGCACGGCGCGGTCGCTGGAGATGCCCGGAGTGAAGTGGGAATAGGACGGGGAAAATTAGCCTCCTAACGAGTCTGCGTAATGAGTGTACCCTTGGGAGAAGTACTTGGATTTGGGAGCATCCCTGCTGTCCCACCTCCACCACCCAAAGGGAGCAAGGGTGGGGGGCTCTGCTTCACTTGCTCTTCTGTCTCCCAGCCCCTTTCCTGGCTCCCGGTGCCATCTGATGAAGGCAGCGATGGGAGTTCATTTACGCTGCTGCTGCCAGACCCCGGGGGGATGCAGGATGGTTGGGAAGCTCCTGGACTGGAGCCAAAGAGGGGATCAAAGGCACCTCGCTTGCTGGTTGTATAAAAACACAGGGTTTGGAACTGGCAGCCCTTGGAGCGGGGCCGCTCCTTTGTCTCCCACCCACCACCATTGGCCTGGAGCTTCGAAGCACAGAGCCTGCTCCGCTCCGCGCTCGCAGGGGTGGGCAGGATCCCTCCGTGGCCTTGCTCGAGCACCCCAGCACCCCCGAGTGCCCTCGCCAGGGTCCCCTGGGAGACAGCGCCCCGCAGTGCCATTTTAAGGCCTGGATCCGGCAGCGCGTTACATAACGTTACAAACCAGCTCTGCCTTCTGCATCAGTGGCCCCTGGCAAGCTGGGAGCAGCCTCGGTTCCCACCACTTATTTCACGGGGAAGATCACTCGGTCCGTGGCAGGCTCTGACGGCCTAATTAATCTATTTAAGGGTAAGTCTCGGCTGCAATTTGGAGCCTCGAGGAGAATGCATTTTTTTCCGGGCAGTTCATAGGTGCCGGCGTCTTCGCTCTGTGTTTTGTACAGCCCCCGACGCAGCGAGGGTGCGGTCTGGGAGCTGGGCTCCTCGGTGCTACAGGTGCATGCGTTACGTGGCAGCCGTGCTGCTGTCTGCATCGCCGCCTTGCTTTGCAAGGATGCTTCGGGGCAGGCGCCATCGCTAGCCCTCGGTCAGCCTCAAACTGTTTCCGCCACTTGACCACCAGCCCCCGACTCCAGTACGATGCCAGTGGGGTCACCAAATTCCCAAAGCCCCTGCTCCACAAACCAAACCCCCGTGCTTGAGTTGAAGGAGACTCTCCATTAGGCCTGAGCAGTAGAGGATATAGGACATGCATTTAATGGGCTCTGATCCCCTTCTATAACAAGGCATCCTGCAGACCCAGCAGCCGAATAGCAGGAGGATTTCAACCATCCCCAGCCCTGCCTAGCCGGGAGCATTTTGATCTGCAATGCGGGTACCCGCCGGGCTGGCGAGGAGCTTGGCCAGCCCTTTCGCACTCAGTCAGCCCCACCTTTGTGTGCGCTTCATGCCCCGCTGTCTGGGTACGTGGGCCGGTTCCCTGGGAATCGCACGCTCCCCTTCAGCGAGGACTTGCGCCTTCCCCTGCTGCAATACTAACCTGGCAGTGACCTTGCACCGAGCCCCGTCCTGACTTGCTGGAGCTGATCTGGGGCTCGGTGAGTCATCCCGCATCGCAGGCCTTCTGCCACTGTCCCGGTCGCTGGGAAAGCGTTTCTTCCCAGCCAGGAGTGAATCACGCAGGAGGGGGCCGCCTGCCGCAGGATGGGTGCAGCGGGAGAGAAAGATGCTGGAGGTTGGAGGAGAAAGGGAACCCCCCTGGGCACTGGCAGGGGTGGGCATGAGCATTGCTCTGCTCCTTGGTGTCTCCATCTTCTCCACCTCCTCAAATATACTCCTCCAGTCTTTACCTCCGGGTCCTATTCCCACCCCACCTGGTACCTGTTATCGATAGCAGGAGGTCAGTTCAGTTCCCAGGCACCAGCCTCCACCTCCGGCTGGTCGGGGATTCGGCTGCTGATGTGCGGAGCCCCGGGTCTACCACGCAGGCCAATACTGGGTCACCATGTCCATCCGTCTCTCCCTTTCTATTTAAACTGAAAGCTTGGTAAGTCTGCTGCTGCTGGTTTGCGCAGCCTCCAGTCCCCTCGGCCCCTTGTCCACGACTACAGCTCTGCCCACACAGCAAAAGATAATCAAGACCGGCCTCAACCGTCCCTCTCCGAGGACAAGTCAGAGATTCACCGAGTCTGCAGGGAAGTTGTTTCGGGCACGAGAGATTCGGGAGGCCTCGTGTAGAAACCAGCGCTTTCACCTGCCCCGGAGGAGAAATGCATGATGTGCTGCTGGGGCACCGCATGAAAACGGAGTCTGGGCATCGCAGCTAATCACGTGCGTACGTCCACGCCTGCATTTACAAGCCCTCCAGGATGTGGGAAGAGTTGTGCCCTGGGGCACCACAGGAAGGAAGGGTGAAACTGGGTTGTGCCCTCGTGTTTTGGCATCTGGACCTTTGGTTCTGAGCGTGCAAAGGCCGCCGGTCCCCAGTGAGGCTTGCAGCCGTTGCATCGCAGTACGGGGCTGAGCAGGGACCGGGGTGCGCTGGCAGCATTGCAGGAGCCATGAACTGGAACAGCCCCAGGGGCTGCCTGTTCATATAAAGGTGCATCCTTGGCATGGTCTTGCAGGGAGCTGGTACATCCATGCCCATGCTCGCAATCCTCCTGTTCCCAAGGGTCGTGGAAGTGACCCTAATGACCCAAGCTCTGTGGCAGGAACCTCGCAACACGCCATGCAGTGGCCTTGCTGCCCAACTTGGCTCCCCATGCCCCGCCGAGGGGGGTAGGACCCGGGCATGTTGCTGCAGCTCTGCCTTTACTGCAGACTGAATTAACACTTGCACGAGGGAGACGGAGCAGAGCTCAGGACAAACCCCGGAGTCCAGGGCCCGCGGGATGCTGCAGGAGGGGTGGCGTGACCGTTTCATCCCTTCCTGCCCCGTCTTGCTCCAGGGCGAAGCAAAACACCTCCAGCCAGGTGATTCTTAGTCTCGTGCTCCTTGGGGAGGAGGAGTTGTAAGAGCCAGGGGAAAGCTGGTGCATGCCCTTCTTCTTTTTGGGAACGTGCCCAGGAGCGATAAGCTCCTGCAGCTGCCACCCAGAGTGCAGCTCCGTCTGCGTCTCGGTTCTCAGGCGCCCCCAGACTTGCCAGAGGCTCCCCGGCGAAGTTCCCACTCCCCCGCCCTGGCCACGAACACGGCGAGGCGACTGCTCCCAGGCTGCGCCACGGGTACGCCGGGCTCTGAATATGCAGGGATGGATCGTGGCAATCCTCAGCCGCTCCGAGCATCCCTAAGCAGAGCCTATAGGTTGAAGGGCAGGGACGAGTGCATTATTCCCTATACAGGAATATACCACTGGTTGAGTTAGTCTGATAAAGGAGACCAGATTTACCCAAAGATCTTTGTCTGCCTGTGTCCTTAGATCACCATGGTTATAGCCTATACCCCTTACTCCCCATACAGCACTGTCAGCCCCCTCCTGACTTCCCCCTTGTTCTGTTTCTGCTGAGACCGGGCCTGGGGACACATGAGCAAAGTTTGGTCCTGATTTCATAAGGCTGAACAACTGTATCCATCACTGCCATACAGACTCAGGGCTTGGGTTATAAGTCCCCAAGAACATGGCATTTACATTGCTGTGCTCCGGCAGGCAGTGCACACAATGCTCATCGTTTTTAGTGCTGTCTCGTGGTTTCCTTGTGCTCCCCCTGTCTCCCCTTTTTCTTAGCTTGTTGGCTCTTCGGGGCAAAGACCGTGCTTGCACAGTACCAAGCAATTTGGTCTCCTAAGATCCTCACACACCTAGCTAGTACCAATGATAATCACGTGCGGTCAGTAATGATAATCTTGTATTATCCCATTTAGGACTTAATAAAGTTAGTATACTTTAAAGTATACTACTTTAGCTGGTTTCCAGGATCCCATGTGCCAACAAGGCACTAGGCCTGGGTCTCACTGTATTGGTGGCATCCCCTGGCGCCATTCATCTTGTGCCAAGAGCCAGGGCCAGGTCTATGCACCACGTATGACCCCATCAAGCCTTTCTTTCATGCCAGTAAATGGGGTTTTTGCTTCCACTGGAGTGGTGTCCTTGTCCCTGGCAAACAACTTGGAAGTCCTATGCTGTGAAGCCCATCATAGCAGAGAGCAATTTGAGTCAAGGAATCTGAACGTTCACAGTAGATTAACTGAGAAATCACCATCCAGCAACTGAGAAAGTTCTGCCTGCTGATTAGCCATGGCTGGACACTCATGATATATGCTGTTATCTCATGATATATGTCATCCACAGCTGTCAGGCTGGGAATACAACCTACCAGCAAATAACACAGCGATGGTTCACTATGGTGCAATAATCAGCCATTATGCAAATCAGAAGCAGGCAAACCATGTGCAAATTGCACAACCGAGACAAGTAACTGTTGCTTTGTGCGTCGGGAACTCCCCCATAGCTTCTCGACTGCTCGGCTGAGAGAGCCCCGCTCAAACCCGAGGCAACGTGAAACACGGTGGGGCACGTTTCTTCTCTTAGAAGGACTTTCCAGGTCCACTGCACACTCTCCCAGCCCCTTTGCACTACTTCAGGGGCTTAAAAGAGACCCAGGTCCATCCTAATAGGGCAACTGGAGATTTCCTTGAAATATTAGGAGCCCTTATAAAGCTAGCTTAACGGCCTTTGTGCTGTTTATTTCCTCTGTTTCCCCCCCAGACTGAAGGTAGGCACTTTGGGATGGGCAGGAAGCAGGAGGGGGATATGGCAGCAGCATGCTGTGCTCTTACAACCCCTGCCTTCCTTAGAGGAGCAGAAGTTAGACCCACAGGGGCTGCTCTAGATGACACACGGGCACTCATTTGACTCCAAGACAGCTCCAGGTTTAGGAGAGCTCAGAGCCAACCTCCTCCACCCTGGCATCCTGCAAACATCACACCTGAGTTTCCATTCACTTATGGTCTGGAGCAGTGGTTTTCAACCTTCTCCCATTTGCGGACCCCTGAAACATTTTGAAAGGAGGTGCAGACCCCTTTGGATTGTAAGGGTGGCTATTCACCCTTTTGATTGATCGCAGTCCTCTCTCGCAGACCCCTTAGACATAGTCTGTGGGCCTCCCCGGGGTCTGTGGACCACAGGTGGAAAACCACTTCTCTTGAACTTCTAAGCAAGAACCGTATCTTAGAGCTTTCTATTGCCCAATCAGGACTCATGGCAGAGGTGATGTCTTTTATTAGGCCAACTAGATTTTTGCAAAAACCCCCATTTTGAATTGCAAGCTTTCAGGCACAAACACCCTTCACCGGGCATCGGAGAAAAGATTGTCAAAGTTCTCCTGGGTGGAAATGAAAGTTCATATTTCATAGGAGAGTTGAGAGTGGTAGATATCTCATTTTATGTGCAGATTAGGCTCAGAGAAAAGTTGGACTAGTCTGCTTACCCTGAAGTTGTTTGTTGGAAAGCAGGATATATTCATATTTCCTTTTGGTGATGGTGTTTCATATTTCACAGAGGAATAAATAGATGGTATGATCCTCTGGGCAGGCATTTTTTACCCCAAATCATTTTTCAGCTGCTTTACCAGGTGGACTGGTCATTCAGCTGGCCTCTATGCAGCACTTGCATGGGTCTGGCTGCCCTACAAAAAGGCAATAGCAAAACCTGATTTTTAGCAGCTACTGACCAGAGTCCCCTGGCACCGTCCAATGTAATAACAATGCTAACAATGTGCGGCATTACTGACCGAGAAGGAAATTACAAGGCCTAACTGTGCAGACTGTCAGCAGTTCTACGGATTTTCTTTTGCAGAAAGCAAAGCAAAGCAATATGTTAACGGGGCAAATTATAAAGGGATTAGGAGCGGGGAGCAGGTTGGTGATAGGCATGGCATCTAACAGGTATGCAGGAGTACAGTAGGAGTCGGGATGGTCTGTGCACGCATCCGCGCTTCCTGCATATGGTAACAAGCAAGCACAGGAGATGTCGAGTCCGAACTTTTAGGCAGGGCCCAGATCCCGCATTGCACGCACATGCCCAGAGACCGGGCTGGAGTCATTGATGCAGCGGGCAAAGGGGACCCAACAATAAAGCGAAGGAAGGTCTTTTTGTGCCACTTAGCGCGCTTCTTATTGGAAAATGCAGGAAAGAGGGGTGCGTTCAAAGATTTGGGCTGAATCTCTTGTCTGTTTTTTGCTGCACGCGTGCACATGCACACACACACAAGCACACACACACACACGCATGCATGTACACACATGCACAGTTACCACAGTGTGGAGGTGAAGCGTTTGCTTTACAGCTGCAACTCCAAAGCTTTGCAACTCTTGTTCCTTGGTATTTCTTGGCAGAATAGGAGAATATGTATATTCTGGCGAGCTCTGATATATCTGATTTATCTCCTTCCTCTAAATGCCTGAGCTCATTAAGGAGAAAAAGAAGAAAAAAAAAAAGCCTCTTATCTTACTGCCAGCAGCAGTGAAAAGGGCCTCTTTATTACCTTTGTGTTTTGTGCATTCCAAGGTATTTCTCTTCTTCTTTACCGCAGAAACCGCAGCAATCCTGTAGGGAACATGCAAACAACAAAAACACGGCGAGTGTGAGCAGTACCTACTAATGGCCCTAAGCACACTCACGTCCTTCAGGATAGGGTCACACGGTAGCCACATGGGACTGATAAAATCGTGTGAGTCCCAACATGCCTGCGTATGCTCTGTGGCATATTTCTCAGCTTGCATTTGCGTGTGCCCATTGCCAAAAACAACATGTCATGGCAGAGAGTCACTAGCTGGTGCTATGACACCCAGCTCTCAGGGCTCGTGTGCAAGCAAGTTTTCAGTGCTAGGGAGAAATGCAAAGTAACTGGTAATCTGAGGTCATACAAGATTTTTTTTTTTTATAATTTGGAAGCAGTTTGCAGCTGTGCAGTCAGCAGGAAAAGGTACTCTGTGCCTTGGGCTCCACTTGAAGCCAGTTTTGAGGCAGGGCGAATCCCTGGGAACTGGATGTTGGGCTGGGTTGTGGTTCGTGGAGGAAGGGCTTGCCCTATACACTGTATTGCTATCTTGTTTCAGGACTGGTGTGCATACAGGAATAAAGCATGTACTTCCCCAGGAGACTTTAGAAGACTTCTACGCCTACCCTGCCCTGCACACAGAACAAATGAATTTGTGAAAGAGCAAGTCAGATCTGTCGGCAAGTATGAACCCTTACTCGAAATCATAAGAAGAAGAAAGATGCAGTGGTTTGGACAAGCAACAAGAAAGCCTGGCACCTGTACTAACACCATTTTGCAGGGTGCTGTGGTTGGATGAAGAAGAGAAGGAAGACCTAAGACAAGCTGGACCACCTGGAGACGAAGAAAACTGACTGATTGTACAAGGGTTGCACAAGAGAGGCAAGAACTATGGAAGTAACATGCCATCCTCTCTTTCCCAACTGGTTGCTCTCTAACTTGAAGCCTACCACTACCTGCATCTGGTGCTGGGTGGCTTCTTGGCGCTGGCCTTGATTGTACAAGGATTGCACAAGACCGGGAAGAAAGGGGGAAAGGTACGGCCACATCAAAAGGTGCCTCAATGATCGGTGCAGCCATGGGACTGACTTGACTTGACTTGACTTCCTCAGGCTCCATGTCGCTGATCTCTTTACCGCAAACTTAGCAAAGCCTTGGATATCTGCAACTGCTCAGCAGAGGGTTGACGCCAGCGTTAGAACAGGCCCCTTGTGCTAGAAGATGCATTTGTTTGTGCATATATGATAGCGAAGTGGTGTGTGGGTTTCACAAGTGCCTACATACATGTATACCTATGCATGTCAAGACAGCTCATGCACACGTGTGGAAAGATATGTTGGTTCGATACATGCTAGTTTACAAAGGTGTGTGCGCAGAAGTATCCCACTTGGCGCAGGAGACCAGTGACTAAGGCTGTGCTTTCATGCTTACCTACATGCATAAAGATAAGGAAACACATAAAACGGCACGTTCCCACACCAACCCGTTTCCTGGCGAGTACTGGCTGTCTGATGTCTTTGAGGCAATCATTACAACTCTCTATGGAGGTTATCAGTCCTGTAAATCTTTCAGCCACTTGAAATTATTTGTAGCAGAAGAAGGTGACTGAGAGGAGGGAAATGCAAGTGGCGGTCCCCTCTGCCCAGCTGCAGCGCTCTCAAACCCCCCACCGCAGCCGGGTGGAGGCTGAGCGCCTCTGCGTGGTGCCATGGGTGAGCTGACCAGCACTGTGGAGGGACCGGTCCATTGCTAATTATCGCTCCCAAAGCACCCTGCCCACATGGGCGTATTACTTCCAGTTCAGGTGACAGCCCATGTGGAGCACCACTGCCAGGTACAGCAAATGCATCAGGTAGACGTGGGCAGTGCCAAGAAGCCACCCAGCACCGGATGCAGGTAGTGTTAGGCTTCCAGTTAGAGAGAAGCCAGTTTGGAAAGGGAGGATGGCTCGTCACTTCTGCAGCTCTTTTCACTCAAGGACTTTTAGCTCCCCCCCTCTGAGGCGGGAGGTACGTGCTCCATCCTACGCACAGGCCCCGGCAGTCCAAGCGCTATCCCCCTCTTCCGAGAGAGCAACAGGAGTGGAGGGAAATGAACTTGCAAGAGGAAATGGAAAGTATCTGAAGGATGGCAAAGCAGAGCAGAAAGAAGGGGCAGAATGGGATGTGAGGGCCATGGGGGAATGGGAGGAGAAAGAGAGGGCAGGATGGAAGACGAGAAGGGAGTAGAAGACGTGTGTTCATTTCCTTCACGGAGAAGGAACAAGAGACAGCGGGACAAGCTCAGCGCACGCACTCACACTTATCCGGCTTGGCGGTGGCCGAGGCTGCCCAGGTCTGCGGACGGCGGCTGTGGGAGCGAGCTGGAGGAACGAACTCCCCTTGCCAGCCCCAGCCGTCTGAGCTCCTGCCGGCAGTCGAAGAGTTTCAGGTGACTTGGACAGACGCACGGATGCCTCCTCCCCTGCACCTGACCCCAGCAGGGTGCTCCTAGCAGGCAAGAACACCGCAAGCGGCCCAAGAGCGGCAGACAGTCTGACCCGAGCTGCGGGAGACACGGCTGCAATGAGACTGAGGTTGATGGCCGACTTTACACCCTCGCTTTGATGGTTTTCTATAGTTCATAACTTGGGGCAGTGAGGCTGGGCTGCACACGCAGGCTGGATGCTGGCTTGCTACGTGCTGCAGAATTTGAAGAGGACGGGAGCGTGCCTGGGGCCAGCTGTTGCATTGCTGACTCCCTCCCGAAAGACGGCATGATGTTTAGCCATAACCGCTTGGACTATTAGCAAGAGAGATTAGCACCCATCAAGCCTGCATCTATGTGGTGCATGTGCTCTCGCCTGACCTCAGCACGACGTGGGCCGCAGAGCCCTCGGCAAAGGAGATCACTCCATGGCCGTGCGCTGTCCCTTCACATCTCCGGGCTATGGCACAGGCTGGGTTCAAATTTCTGCAAGAAGGTTGCTTTGTGCTGAATCTGCATTTTTAAGAGGCAGCTCTTTGGATTAGGGCTTGGCCTAGCAGGCTGAGGAAGTTGGTCAAAGTGATGCAATGAACAAAAAAGTTCCCAAGCTCGCCCACCTTGAAATCAAACCAAGGGAAGGCAAAAGCTGACGAGGGTTTGGCAGGAAGCTCAGGTCCCGGTTTGGTCTTCTCTAGTGAATGCGGGACCATTGCTGTGTCTGGCAAGGCTGTGAATGAGGTATGCTGACAACCTACTGAATGATGGAAACACAGGGCTCTCTGGCTTCCTCTCTGTGATGAAGTCATTGGTTGGCATCTCACCAGCAAAGCAGCGCTCCCTCCTACAGACAGATCATCCCCGCTGAGGACATCTGTGCTGATGATCGCTATGCATGGCTTCCCAAGAATGCCAAGAGGCTGATACCTTCGAGTACATAGACACATATAGATTCATAGGACATGAGGGTGTGAAGGGAGCTCAGGAGGTGGCATCTAGTCTGACCCCCTGCTCTGAGCAGGACCAGCCCCAACTACATCATCCCGGCCAAGGCTTGGTCTAGCCAGGTCTTAAAAATCTCCAAGGATGGAGACTCCACCACCTCTCTGGGTCACCTGTCCCAGTGCTTTACCCTCCCAGTGAGAGAGTTTTTCCTAATATCCAACCTCAAATTCCCTTGCTGCAATGTGAGCCCATTGCTCCTTGTTCTGTCACCCGCCCCCACTGAGACCAGTCCAGCTCCATCCTCTTCAGACCTACCTGCAGGGAGTTGAAGTTGCTATTCAATCCTCCTCGGTCTTCTCTTCTGCAGACTCAATCAGCCCACTTCCCTCAGCCTCTCCTCACCAGTCATGTGCCCCAGCCCCATAACCATCTTCCTTGTCCTCTGCTGGACTCTCTCCAGTTTGTTCCCATCCTTTCTGTAGTGTGTGTGTGTGGGGGGGACACAGGACTCCAGATGTGGCCTCCCCGGTGCTGAATAGAGGGGAAGAATCACTGCCCTCGATCTGCTGACACTGCTCCTGCCAATACAGCCCAGGATGCCGTTCCCCTTCTTGGCAATGAGGACACACAGCTGGATCCTGTTCAGCTACTTGTCCCCTGTCACCCACGTCCTTTTCTGCAGAGCTGCTGCCCAGCCCATCACCCCCAGCCTGTCCCGGTGCAGGGGATTGCTCCCTCCTAAGTGCAGGACTTTGCACTTGTCCTTGTTGAACCTCATGAGATTTCTTTTGGCCCAGTCCTCCAGTTTCAATCTGAATCCCAGCCTTACCCTCCAGCGTATCTACTACTCCCCGCAGCTTGGTGTCATCTGCAAACTTGGTGAGGGTGTGCTCTGCCATCTTCCACATCGTTGATGAGCGTACATAGGCCTGGTTGTTTGGGGACACCTGGGAAGGTGCATGAGAGAGTATCAGAAGGGCATTTCTAAGTCAGACCAAAGGCCCATGTCGCCCAGTCTCCCATCTCCAACCACTAGATTTCATAGATTTCATATCTGCTCATTAGCAAGTAGCAGATGCTTAAGGGGAAGAGCAAATGAAGCAGGGCATGGGCAGAGTGATCCATCCCATCACAGCCTCGGTTCCCGGCAGTCATGGGCTTAGGGATGTCCATGAGCCTGAGTTTATGTCCCCGGTGACAGAAGGATGCTGGATGCTGGTGGTCATCTCAAGCACTTCACGTCCTAATACCGGGTCAGGAGAATCCAGAGGAATGGGAGGAAAGTTGTGATTTCTCATGCATCAGGTTACTGTTTTGCAGTTCAGACCCAGGCTTGCCTGAATCAATGGTGCTGGTGTCAGCCCATCTCTGCAGCATGTAAGCGAGACAGCCAGTGATGTGGTAGGTCAGGGTCAAAGTCATCTTGGGCCATCTTGGGCTAATGCCTGGACACTGAGGTGGTCATCTTGGAAGCTAACTCGGACAAGTGAACTTCATTCCCATAGGGAGGAGCTGGCAGGGAAAGCACAGGTTGCTAAGACTAAAGCCCTGAAACAGGCTCACGTCCCTGTGGGACTGGCACCACAGGGGCTCTGGCATCCACACTGGCTCGGGTGAGACGACAGGGTTGTGACAGAGGAGGTTTGCCATGCACCAGACCAAACCCAGGTGGAAATCCCTTGGAGGGAAGGAGGTTGCATCCCGGGAGAACTGAGCTGCACAAGGGGAACGAGCCCCCAGGGCTCCCAGGCTGAGTGCTGGGGAGCGTGTAGTGTCGTGGGGTAAGAAAACGAACAAGAGGAAACTTGTCGGGCACCCTGGGAAGCGGGGCGTGCACACTGCACACTTCTAGGACATGCGAGCCAGTCTGCGCGTGCAACCGTGAAGAGAAGAGGATGCTTGCCACCGCGTTTCAAAGGCTTGAAAGCAACCCAAAATGGAGGGTAACCCCAATGGGTCCCGTCTGCGTTATATTCATCCTTGACTGGAGATGTCCCCCGGCGA